ACACAACATCTTTGTTTCTATGTGGTGCTGAGGATCGAACCCAGGCCGCACTCATGCCAGGTGAGGGCAAGTCCAGCACTTTTTCATTGCTCCTTACTACCTCTTATGCCTTAGAGCTCAGAGTTACATTTGGCTGTAACTCTGAGCTCTCTCATATCAAACAATGGACACACCTCATCAAACAGGGTAAAAAGCTAATCACACAGGTTAGTCCACATCACCACTGACAGGTTTACCTTTCCTGTTAGTCTTAGAAATGCTAAAAGGGCTGAGGGCTGGGTGCCCACCCATTTTTTCATTCTGCTGCCATGGCTAGCTGCCACAGCCCCTCCACAAAAGATGACAGAGGTTGCTAAGATATTTAGAATTGTCTAGAAATGAGTGAGTATGGGAAGAGAACAAAGGATGGGTTTTCTTCTTGCAGACTGAATGGTGGAATTCCTAGTCTGCTTGCTGAATAGAACCTAGGTGTCCCTGCAGTCTTGGACAGGCTTCTGGGAGGCAGTGAAAAAAAGATGCCAACTCTCTCTACACTTCCTCCCACTTATGGATAATTCAAGTTCAGGGAAGCTCTATACCTAACCCTACAGAAATGTGGCCTCAAAACCAGGCATTCAAATACTATCCATGTATTGTGATCTTCTAATTTGAAGAACCCATCATACCTGACATCTGACCTAAAGAACCCCTCAACAGCTCCCTGCATTAGGGTTCTTGTCTCTGAGACCAATTCAAGATCTTGCCTTTCTCATCCAAAGGGAGTCAGGGAAAGAGGAAACAGCTCATTAGCATCTCTTTCTTTTGAGCCATTTTTCTCTTCTTTTGAAAAATGGAACGTGGCCTCCTGGGCCTGTCTCAGAACCAATTTGAAAATTCTCTAAATGGCCCAAATTCCCTACAATCCTACCTCTGCTTCCACATACCTTCAGATATTCATTATCAATAAAACATATGATTGTGCATTAAAGATGAGAACGAGAGGGATGATAATTCCCTAGCCCCTCTTAACTACTAACCAGGTAAACTATCTTCCTATTAGATTTCAGTATGATATGTTTATTGAGTTTCTATGTTATGCCTGGAAACAGAAGTATGCAGAAGACCTTGATCTCCTAAATCTGTCTTATAGAGGACAACACATCAGCTAATCCCTTCAATATGGTGTGCATACACTGGGAGCAAGAAGCTGGACATCTGGCTAATCTGAAAGTTCAAAAAAGGGTTCCCAGAGAGAATGAAGCCTGAGGGGAACTTAGGATAATGAATAAAAGTTGGCAAGATAAAGACTGGTTACAGGAAAGGCCAAGATGTGCAGGAAAACTACTCAGAGATTGGAAATAAAAACAAGTTCAGCAGGAGCAATGGCTCACACGTCTAATCCTAGCAGCTCCTGAGATTGAGGCAAGAGGATCACAAGTTCAAGCCAGCCTCAGCAATTTAGCGAGGTCCTAAGCAACTCAGAGATATCCTGTCTCTAAATAAAATATTAAAAAGGGCTGGAGATGTGGTTCAGTGGTTGGTTAAGTGCCCCTGGGTTCAATCCCAGGTACCAAAAAAAAAAAAAAGACAAGGTCAGGACCTAAAGGTCTATTAATCTATTATATACTGTCAGACTACAGAGCTTGATTTTTATCCTGAGGATAATCAGGAGCCATTGAAGAGTGATCAGGTTTGCCTTAGAAGCAATATTGTGTGGACTGATCCCAGTCTTAAGGCACATAAGCAAGCCAGCTTAACTTCACATGTTCTTTGGACATCCCTTGCAAATTCCTAACCTCAAGTACCACTGGCACACCTTGTGCCCAAGACTGAATCTAGGACCACCTTGGTGACACCAGTCCTCCAAAAGCTGAGAAAGCACAGCACCAACAAAACTAAAATGCAAAGAGAGAGGTGAAAGGCCTGTGCCTTTGAAGAGTGCCCAACACAAGCCCAAAGAGCCAGCAGGAGCATTTTTATTTTAGGGATTTTAGGGAAGCAATGATAGTTACTTGTTCAACGCCACTCCATGAGGATACCGTTAATGGTAGGGCTGGAAAACACTTTGGTTTGTCTCATTCCAAACCCTGCTTTTTCCACGAAGTCACCTTCCTTGGAGAAGAGGGAATCTAAAAACCGGGAGAGCAGGGCGGATAGCTGAAAAGAGAGATGTGAAGAAAAGTCACAGAGAAAGAGAAGTTAGCCCATCCAAGTGGCAGAGGAGGGAGGAAAGGGTCTAACAACAGGAGTGAAGCGGCAAAGAGGAAAGAAAAGCGAGACGTGGGAGGATTGTAACGGAGACAAAAGAGCGGAGAGACGGACAGCAACAAGTGGGAAAATGGGCGAAACTTGAGCGGCAGGCAAGTCTGAGCGCTGAGACCTGGCGGGCTCTTGAGCCTTTCCTCCTAGCACCCCAGTAGCCCTCTCCCCCGGCACTACTCCACTTTGCTTCAGATAGCAGCGGGGCCTACCGCGCCGAGGGTTAGCTCCCCCAAGATAGGGAGACCACACTACTTTAGCCCGCAGAGCTCCGCAAAAGCTTGCTAGATGGAACAGCTCTCGGCCACGTGGGAGAGGCGTGGCCTAGTTGTTGAGTCGCTCTTCTGATTGGTCGAGAGGCGGGATTCTTGGCGGCCCGCCGGACGCACCCCTCCCTCAAAGGTGGGGCCTGAAGATTCACAGCTGGAAAGGGTGGAGCCCGGGCGGCGCAGCTGGAAAGGGGCGGGTCGGGAGGCGCACCGCTCGCGGCTGCGGGCTGGGGGCGCCCTGTGCTGCCATAAAGTGAATGGGCTTCGGCAGGGGGTGGCAGTCCACGGTGAGGCTCGCTCACTCCCTCCGCGAGTCTGGGAGCGCCAGAGCCAAGCGGCTGCCCCGTAGCAGGGGGCGGCCCCCACCCCGGCTGGGTGCCTGGCCCCTGGCCCCTGCCTGCCCTCCAGACCGTCACCGCCACCGCCGCTATCTGGAGTGCGCCTGCTGCGGGACACACTGTGAGTTCTTAACCGTATGGGGGAATAGGAGCTTAAGGAATCTTGGCGGATCCCGGGACCCCTAAAATGGGACCTGGGTGGTGTAACTCCAGTACCTGGGGAGCAGGTCGAGACTGGGAGGGCATATTGTAGACCAGGTTCTAGGATTTGGGAAAAAGGAAAACTCAAGAGTAAGGACCAGGGGGACAGCAGTGGGAGACTCAGGGGATCCGGAGTGAAGCTGGAGACTTGAAGCCAGGACAGGGGCTCCGCAAAGCAAGGAGTAGGGAGTCTGGAAACCATTACCAGAAAGCGCCCTGGAATCCAGGGGCACAGGGAAGACAGCCTGGGAGTGAAAGGGGTTGCAGTGGCCTTGGCCAGTTGGGAAGCCTCCGGCGGCCGCCCAACATGCAAGCAATTGGCGGCGCCCGACGCCCCTCAGCCCAGGCTCAGGCAGACTTTTGGGACTGGAAACAGGGGTGCGCTTGGTCGCACACACTTCTCTTCCCAGCTGCTCTGCAGTTGGAATAGGAGCCGTGTTGTGAGAGACCGGCAGCGACTGGGTCAGGTGGCGGTTTTGAGAGCCGCAGGACTAAGGCTGGAAGTCCTAGTAATCAAGCAGCAGGAGTGGAGGGTCGGGCTTGGGGTGTCGGGGTCTAGATGGGCCCAGACCCCGCGCCACCTCAGAATCGGACGGAATGTCCTTGACGCGTGGAGCTCAAGGCGGACAGAATGTCCAGGGTGGCGAAGTGGGTCTCTCCGGAGCAGGCACTCTGTCGGACAGTGGTGGACAGAATGTCCCTGGCTGGGTGGCATGTCCATCTACTCAGCAGCGCCTGCCCAGCTGCTACATGTGCGATGGAGTCGGCTGCGGTGGGTCACCTGAAATCCCAGCTTACACTTTGCAAACTTGTTTCTGATTCTCTGGGCAGTGGGGCCTAGAGCAGAGAGTGTAAAGGATGCATGCAGCCTAGCCTTGGGACAGAGTGAAACTGGGAGGCATCCTTCCTCCATCTCAGAATAGATCAGAGCATCACCCTGGACTTCCAGAATTCAAATTAGAGGGGGAAAAAAAAAAAGGCTGATAATGGAACTGCTAGTGAATCCAGACCACAAAAATGAAGAATGAGCTACAAGGGCCATAGGAGCACAGGAGGAGCACAGCACAAGCTATGTTAGCTCAATTTCCTAACAAACTCAGAGTCAACCCCTAATTCCAATACAACTAACCATACAACCCCAGACTCCTTGCCTGGGTATTAGCTAACTCAAGAGTCCTTCTCTGCAAGGATGCAGAAGCCATGCCACAAGGGAGAAATGCAATCCCTTAACAGAATAAACCCTATGGTCCAGTTATCCTTTTTCTTCTTTAGCCCCACCAGTCCTAATACCCACCTTGATGGCTGAGAGAAGGTGAGAAAGAAACATAGGATCCAGATGTAGGTCTAATATGGAGCCTATATCTCGGGTTGGAAAAGATGCCTCAATTGCCCTATTTGTTTTCCCTGTGGAAGGGGATGGGCCCTGACTCTTCTGGTCCTATACAGTGACCCCAATGCTAACTAGAGCCCAGTTAAACTAGAAAGGACAGAGTACAGAGAACTCTTCAAATCTATTAAGTAAGCAAGACAAGCCAGCTGCGGACTGAGTTTTCATGAGGACAAGTGCAAGGCTTTTTGTTTAGCACTCCTCAGTTTTTAAATTTGCTTAGAAACCAGCTAGCACTTTGCCTCCAACCCTTTTTTGTCCCTTGCCCTCTTTTAATAAATATGGAGTCAAACTAATCACTACCATCACATCCTGATATATAGTTTTTAGGAACTTCTGCTCCTATTATTGCTTTTGAAAAATCACTGAAATTATAGCTAGCTGAAATGAAGGATTCTGAGTCGGGAAAGGAATAGGGAAGACACTATGAATGATTTCATGAAGACCTCAGTCCAAAATTCTGATTTTGACAAAAAAAAAAATCCAAAAAGAGAAGGCATTGTAACAAAGATGATTGGAAACAAAAGATAGAATCTTCTTCCACTCTTGCGTACAACCATGTAGCTAAGTGCATGTCAGGTCTTTGGCCCTTAGGGAGAATGTTATAGGCATAGAGAAGGTTCAAGATACTTGGCAGAATGGGGAGACAAAGGTTGCTAGAGAAAGGAAATGTTAAAGTTGAGGCCTCTGGAAGTTGAGACAGGATGGAAGTCTACAACATAATGAAAGAGCTAGATAGGCAGAGGAATTGTTTACTCCCCAAATTCTGAAACTTGAGATGAGAGGGTCTTCTTAGAACTGGAGTGATGCAAGTTTAGAATGAATAGAAAACATTCTCTTATGGTGATGCTCAGGCTTGAACCTGGGGTCTTGTGCATGCTAGGTAAGCACTTTCCCAACTGAACTATATCCCAGTCTCTAGAAAACGTTTTTTAGCACACAGTGGAAAGCCAACTTCCAGAGTTCATTTCCAAAGAGGTGGTAGAGGCAGGAAGTAATAATGGAATGCTTCAAAGGCTTGGAAGAGTCAGTGCATGTTAGAATCACAAATGATTGCAGGATGGAGGGAGGGGAGGTGATGTATGCAAAGAGCAGAACTGGGGTTGAATCTCTTTTTTCTATGTAACCCATGGATGATTTCCTGCCCTTTTTGAGATGAAGTGGGGACAGGCATTCCTACCATGTGGGGTGTTTTGAGAGTTAAATGAAATCATGTGTAGGAAAGTCCTTCGCAAATGGAGAAGCACCAGAAGAAGCCTTATTGCTATTATTCTGCCCAATCTATAGGTTTGTAAATCACAGAATCTTTGGAGGGGTGGGCTCTTGATTGTTAGAGCAGCCTTAATCATATCCCTAATTCAGCCACAGGAAGATTCTTAAAGATGAATGTGTAACCTCCCCCAAGCATTAAATACCAGTCATTACCCTGCCCCTGTCTAACAATCTGGGAAGCTCCCGAAATGTTAACCTCTCTATCAGGTCAAATATCTAATCTCATTATTTGTGTCCAGCTCCTGCTCAAGATTATGAATATGGGCTTAGGACCCAGGTCCAGGAAGGCAAGGGTGACAAACTGGAGCTGAGTTATGGTGAAAGAGGGATGGGACCTGGTGGAATCTTTTCTTCTCTATTCACTCTAAAGAATCCTGTTAGAATGTGGGAGAGGGAGTATGCCAGCTAATCTAAAGGAACCATTAGGTTCTGAGCTTGGTGGGAGGGGACTAGAGTGTCCATGGTCACCAACAGGGGCCCATAAAAAGAGTGATGGGGAGAAAAAATAAAAGAAGATAATAGAGTGAAAGAGAGCTCCAAATGGTTTGCAAAACTCTCTCCATATCTCCTTTCCCATTTTCCTTCCCCAGGGCCTTCTTTACACCTTGCAGTTTGTAGTTTCTGCTTTCCTATCTCTCCCCTGCCCCATCCATTCTGCTCATCATTACCAAACAAGGGTCACAAAAATGCTGATTTTTATGTCACTTCCTGCCTACAAGCCTTAAGAGACTCCCAAACTTAGAGCAATGCTACTGGTGCAGGGGGCAGTAGTACAGGAATGAGCGGGGCATGATCCAGCAGGCTGAACAGAGTCCAGGGCCCATCTTCCTGGTGTGGTTATGTTGCTTAAAGACTGAGGATATATGTCCTTTACTTTTATATTAAAGTAAACATGGCTTAAATATGGACTAGAACTCAAAAAATTTTTAAAAAATATTTTTTAGTTGTAAATGGACACAATGCCTTTATTTATTTATCTTTACATGGTGCTGAGGATCAAACTCAGGGCCTCACACATGCTAGGTGAGTGATCTACCACTAAGCCACAACCCCACCCCTAGAACTCAAAATTTGCTTCAAAATTTTTAAATCAAGTTAGATTGCAAACAAATTTCTTACCAGTAATAGCCATTTCAGGTCATGCCTCTAGTTTTTTTGTTTTTTTGGGGTTTTTTTTTT